ATCCTATCTCAAGACTTCAAGTGGGTCAGCCTACGGCTTCAACCTCCTATCCCGAGGGCGGAGTACTTCTCATTAGGCCAGTTTAGCAAACTAAACTCTAGCGACTTTGAGAGAGAAATTAGGCTCCCCAGCTAGTCAGCACACGCTCGTGTCGAAAAAAGGAGTGATAGATAATAATAATAATAAAACTTTGCAATGACTAAGAAGAAGAACACTTATCATAAAACAGCTCATATAAATTTAAGAGCCCCCAAGTGACTTGGGTAAAAGAATGATTGCATGTACCGAAGTACTTATATCATATCTATGTTCAACCGAACTTTAAACGCGTCTTAACCGACCGTCGGCTTCTCCCTCTTCTGTCAAGGACCGAAAAGTGTTATGTACTCCATCTTTCGAGAATATCGACGGTGTTTCCAATAACCAGGCAATCAGGCCATAAGGCTGTAACAGACAAAGCGCGCTCAGGTAACTTATGCTATATGACTGCAAAGTGTAAGAAGCATCTTCGAAGAAAATAGTACCCCCACCGACACCTTTCTTCGGTGCTCACTGTTATTATGTGACTTGTGCAATAGATTTTTTGTACTCATGAGTTCCGTTGTGTGCCGACCATCATTGCAAACTATAAGAGAGCTAGCTTTCGGCTTCACCCAGTCTGAGGTCCGGCTCGGATGACCCGATCGTGACAATCGCAGAGGTGCTCCCTTTACTCCCTAGCCGAACAATCGGGAACGTAGGGGTAAACACGGGAGCGAGGCAACCCAGCTTGCAAATCGCTTAAGTCAATATGGTGCATATTGTGGCGTAATACACGAACAAGGAACAAAGCCGTACAAGTATAATCATATGCAAGAGGAAAAGCTTCATGAAGGAAGCCCCCAAATGAATTGGGTATTTGAATTTATGCGTCACAAACAAAGTTTGGACAAGGAAATTTTTTACAAGCAACTTTCTTCCAAAAAAGTATAATGCTTGGTCGAACCAAACACAAGTTAGAAATTAAAGCTTTGAGCATGAAAGGCGACTTAGCTGGTTAATGTGTTCGGTATTGATGACACGGTCCGAGTTTGATGCAGGGCAAGGTTCCATCCCCCAAGCCGGTCCCTAGGTGGCGGAGCGGAGAGCTCGACACGCCGAAGTGATGACATAGCACGATCAATGCAGACCGGCAGAGTGACGCCGAAGTCCCCGGATCATTTTCCTGTGCACAAAAAATAGTGCAAACCGGAGGTAATAGTAATAATGATAATTAAAAAAATCGTTGCATAATAAATAATTTATGCAAAGTGAGTACTAAAAGAAATATGGCCTGACGCCGAAGTCAATGTCGATGCAGGGCGTCGGCGTGATGCGGTAAAGGCGTGGCAAAGCAGGTCGGTCCGAGCTCCGGATGCGGCGTTCGCCGGTCTATGTACGGAAACTGACCAAACCACCATGCGACTGTCGTTAATGCGGCCACCATTTGATAGACCTGTGTACATATGATGGACAAACCGGAGTAATAATTCCTTGGGAAAAATGAACCCAAACAAGCAAAAAATACTGGGATTAATAGCACCTGGTTTATTTGTTGTAGCAATCCGAAGGAAGGTGGTTCCTAAAATTGGGACTCGATCTGCACACCCATTGCCTGATGGGCGATAAAACGATGGCATGGCAATGCTGGCAAAGGTTGGCTCGCCGAGTCAAAGCCCTCGACCCAGCTAACGTGACGGAGCTGGTCGGCTAGTGACGCCGAAGTGTCCAGAGTAGGTTGATGAAGAGATGGCGAAGCCCCCGGTCCAGCCGAGATGTCGAAGCCTCGATGTCAGACGATGAGTCGAAGTAGGTCGGCGTGATGGACACCAGCTTGAAGAAGCAATAGTGCAGTCCTGCCGATGCAGGTCGTGACGTGGTCGATGCCGGCTTGATGAAGCGACCGTGCGGCGATGCCGGTATGCCAGCTCCGTGTAATCCATGGGGCGGCGATGTTGGTGATGATTTATCCTTCGCGATGCCTGACTCTTGTTCGGCTTGCCGAGATGATGATCCGAAGAAGTTGAGCTCGGCTCAACAAAGTGACGACGTGTCTAGCGCAGGTCGGCAGCCGTGGAGCAATATTGCCGGACTGGTTTGACACCAGCATGATGTTGAAGATCATGTTCAAAAGATCTTAAAGTTAGTGAGATGTGTTCAGGAACAAAACACAATACCCCATACAAAACTTCCTTCAAAAGGGATGTCCGAAATCCCGTTCTAAAAATGACGAACTCGGGTCAGATTCGTTTTCGCGCAGAAAACAGATCCAAAAAGTGATGCACTAATCAGAAGTTTCCCGGAGTTTGGACGGTCGGATCGAGCTGAAATTTTGAGAGGTGGTAGATATAGGAATTCCGTAGCCGATCAACAGTTGGATCTTCCAAAGGACGTCCGAGCTAGAAGCTAGACACCACGCCCTAAACTCATCCAGATTCTCGTCCAGATTTGACAGGGCTCCGGTATATCGTGGATTGCCAGACATTCCTCCGTCAGAACTCGACGGAACTCTCCAGGGTTGTTATAGACTCAATTCCGCACAATTCCACCAAAGTGATCGTCAAAGCGATACTCGAGGAGGTGGTGGCGGAAGATACGAGTTCGCTGGCCAGAAAAACAGCACGGTCGCTTGAGGGCAATGTTGACGTTGAGCCCCCGAGCTCCATGGATGATTCCTCCATGATCTTTATAGAGATCGGAGTTGATGTTTGATGAAGGCCCTCGTCCGAACATGGTGATCCGAACATGGGGCGTAGTTCTTGGTCGAACCAAGGTGACCAGTCGAGCTGGTGACGAAAATGCCGAAGTCGCAGTTGATCTGCAGGCGAGCCATCGATCCTTTTGTCGATCACACAGCGAAACTCTCAATGAAAGCACCAATGTCGGTGTCAAAACTGGCGGATCTCGGATAGGGGGTCCCGAACTATGCGTCTAGGCGGATGGTAACAGGAGGCAGGGGACACGATGTCTTACCCAGGTTCGGGCCCTCTTGATGGAGGTAAAACCCTACGTCCTGCTGGATTAATATTGACGATATGGGTAGTACAAGAGTAGATCTACCACGAGATCAGAGAGGCTAAACCCCAGAAGCTAGCCTATGGTATGATTGTATGTATATATTCTATCGACTAGCCTGGCCTTGGTTTATATAATGCACCAGAGGCCTAGGATAACAAGAGTCCTAGCCGAATACGCCGGTGGGGACGAGTCCTTGTCTTGATTGCCAAGTCTTGTGGAATCTTCCTTGTATGCGGCTGCTGTCCGAACTGGCCCATGAGTATACGGCCACGGGGATCCTCGGCCCAATCTATCAGATCGGGAGATGACGTGTTGAGTACCCCCTAGTCCAGGACACCGTCAGCGGCCATCGCCGTTGAGGTCGGCGATGAGCGGCGGTGGGAGGCGGTCCACGTTGTGCTTGATCGGGAACCCGTCGTCCGACAGGTGGTACCACGCCACCCGAAACGAGAAGTCACCCTCGTGCTACCGGAGGAGGATGGGGATGGGTCAGTTAGGGTTCTGGATCAAATCGGGGAGGGGGGGAGGAGGAGGGCTCACCTGGAGCGAGAAGAAGACGGTGAAGGGAGGGGGGAAGAAAGCAGAGTGTACCAGCAGCGGCCACCGCTGGAGTATGAGGGAGAGGCGAGGAAAGTGAGAGAGGGGGAAAGTGAGGGAGAGAGGAGGGATTCGGCCGAGGATACGGGGATTTCACCTACCCTGTACTTAGTAGTAGCGAGGGGTATAAAACCACACTACTACTATCAACTTAGTAGTAGCGCGGGTTTGTACCCCTTGTTACTACTATGGCATGTTCCGGGAGGGCACGGTAGAGATCGCTTAGTAGTAGCGCAGGTTAAATAACCGCGCTACTAGTACCAACTTAGTAATAGCAAGGGGTAAAAACCTGCGCTACTAGTAAGTAGCAGTAGCGAGGGTTATAAACCCTCGCTACTAGTAAGTGTCTGCCTATAAGCTTTTCCCTAGTAGTGATGACTGGTGGTAGTTGTCCGCCTCACACGCATGCCCGACCAGGGCAGTGTCGCCACCAAGCAGGCCACGGCTGGCCGAGACGGAGGGAATCTGTAGGGGTGAGATTCGTACCTAGTTGACGTGTGAGAGAGAGGGAGCACACCCAGGTAGTAGGAGGAAGAGAAGTTGGAAGAGGTGCCTCGCCGCCGCCGCGGGCTAGCCAGAGGCTGTCGGCAACGAGGGACGGGAGAGCGAAGGAGAATTTGGTTGGGGCGGCGACGACATTCACCCTGTGAGTCAGAGGATCTAACCAGGAAATCTGAGCAGAAACTTAGTTCTGCTATACTAAACTCAATTGCAAATACGATTGTACTTCCAATTTATGTATCTCTTCTTTTCTGAAATTAGGTGGGGAATGGTGATGACAATCACCATCTTAAAGCAATATAAAATCATGTTATTACTGAATAGGTTTTCTCGTCTTTGTCCTTTATCCCAAAAAACCCATGTTTGTTTGCAACACTGGCAAATCTGATTCATAAAAAGGGATCATACATTCGAACGCCGCCATTATCCTGATGAAGGAGCGCCCATCCCATCTAGCAATGTTGTGATGTCATAGGGTTTAGGTTTTGGACGCCATTATCCTGATGAAGGAGAGCGCCAGGTGTCCAAGCAGAGGAAGAGGACAAGGGGCGATCTATATATAGATCCATTATTTCACGAGATGTATAGACGGATCATTTATTTGGAGGGCCTTCCGTGGGATAAAATTACCCCTGCTAATTATAGGAAATCACACAACTGCCAATTTTTTTTGAGATTCACCAATTTTTTACATTAGGGAGGGTGGGGGTGGGGGGGCTGTACTGAAGCACAACCCACACCCCGAAAGACAATACCACCACAAAACAATATCTTCTCTGGCGACATAGCTATATAGATATAGATACCCAATCCAACACTTTGTGCACCACACAAGCAATCCAGTCAACATGGGCACATTATAGTTACTAGCAAAAGAGCCTTTGCGTTGCAATGGGAGAGAGAAAACATAACACACACTCTTAACTCAACAACCATCACTCAAGATCATAATAGGTCCATCTCCTTTACTTTTGCGAGGCATCATATTTGTGTTGCCGCTTATCCTCCTTCTCACCCTCGCCCGTGATGGCCTCGGTGTTCGCACAAAACAACAAAAAACGTGTGTTGAATATGGTTAATCCTAAGGCATCTCTCTCTCTCCTTCCTCTCTCTCTCTCTCTCTCTCTCTCTCTCTCTCTCGCTCGCTCGCTCGCTTTCTCTCACTCTCGCAATGAGAAATATGTTGTTTTCTCCTGTATTTTTCAAAGGTATGCATGTGTAGTTATCGATGTTTTCTTTTCCGTATATGGTTATAGTGGGGTGTTTATTTGCAATCCGAATCGCCGCCGGTATGAAAAAAAGAATCTTGCGCTATAAATTATAAGTTTGCCTCCATAACAATATTTTAAAAATATGTAACAGGTAAAATTAACATCATATTTAGATTCCACACATTTTTCTAATAAAATTTTATATATAGTATGTTAAAATCGAAGTTATGGTTTAAAAGATACAAATAATTTAGAAAATCATTTGGTTTGACTCAAATATATTAACAGGTAAAAATAATCGCATATTCATATTGTACATATTTTTCTAATCAAATTTCATATATAACATGTTCAAATTGGAGTTACGGTTTAAAAGATATGGATAATTTTAAAAATCATTTGTTTGACTTAAATATGATCCGCGGATGAATTATCTAAAACATCAGGATTTTTTCGAAAAATGTTAAATAACGGTTCAGGTGTGACTTAAATCCGGACGGCGGGTTGATTTCAAGAAAAGACAGGGACTTCTGTGTAAAATATGAAAATAACGATTCGTTTTAACTTAAAACAGGACTGCGGGTTGAATTCTGTAAAATAGAGGGATTTTTCTGAAACATGCCATGACGGACGAAAGAAACCCAATTTGCTTTATTATTAGGTAAAGATTGGGCAACCAATCATCCTTCCTCGATTGGAAGTTTTTAGGCGAACATTTTTTAACTAAAAAGTTCACAAGGAAATGCACAGGGGAGCGAAAGAATGACACTCCCACATTCATCTTGTCGCCATGTGCTTCATTTGCAGCTTCGTCGTTTCGGGCAGCCTCTGCATCCCCCATCTCAACATGTGCCACTGATTTGCTGCGGGTGCTAGTAGGTGCGTCTAGTAAGGGAGAAACAGGCTTGTCAGATGGCCCTCCTTGATCTGGTGGAATGGGAGCCCCACCCCTGGTCACCTTTTCAGTGTTGACAACCATCATCTTGGGTTGCTTTTGGGCTTTCTGGTGAAAGTGATCAGTTTCTGGTCGACGGCATACCTTGCTCAGTGGAACAAACTCCTGTCACGTGAAAATAAATGCAAAATTAAATTATTGGGTATAAGCATCATAAGAACAAACTAAACTCCTTACTCCCCCTTCTGTTTTATTTGACTACATAGTAAGATAACAAGCCTAGAACAAAAAACATAGTATTTTACACTATTCTTCCCCGTCAATATTACACAAACTAGTTTTCTTTTGTTTGGTCGCCAACAGAAGTGCAGATTGGAAATGAAATCACATGAAAATTTTGAAGTAAGTTTGGTTTCCGTTAGCAACTATGATGGATTCTAATGGGTAGAGGAAAGACCGTGGCGAGATAATCATTTATTGATGCCCAGGCACATTATGAAGAAGAAAACCATAGCCTACTACATATAAATCATAGGGCTGGAGGTCTGATTTGGCAACTCGGGTTGTACTTGTAAAAATAATTTTCGTGGAGTGCAGGAAAAAGTCAAAAATCTATTTCTATTATCAGGCAAACAGCCCTATAAACAGAATTACAACTCCAGGACCCAAGCCTCAGTTATATAATTCTGACAACCAACCATGGTAAAACAATTGAAGCAGAGTAAATGCATGAACATTCAACAGTGTAGACAGAAGGAGAATTACCTCAGAGTGATCATGATCATAACAAACAAGAAACCTACAGCGGCACCCCCTTACGTCATGCCTGCGCCTTTGAACTTGAAGAACATGCGCATCAAAATATTGGGCCTGCTCTTTGCCTTCCTGTTCAATTCAGCAGAGAAATGAACTTGAGTAAATGATAACACTACATTATGAGATACCTAATCACATGAAAATAGGTTTTGTCTTCATTCAACTTTCCTGCACTGTGGTATTTACACCCAGCGATCAAAACTCCTTAATCTGACCCTCAACAATACTCTAATTTGAGTATATAATACTGTCTTGAAATACCGGTGTTTGTGCACATTTCCTCTCAATGCTCTAATTTATCGGCATCCCAGTGTTTGTGCGCAACTACCAACATGAGGATTTATTAGACAACATTTCTTGGATAAATTCACACCCAATTTTAGATTAAAAATCAGTTTTAGTACTCAAAGTACGACATAATGAAATGCATTGATTTTACGGTCGTTTGGCCATTCGCGCATCGACAAATAAATAGCGAAATCAATTGTGCTGGTTGGACCAAGTGGCATCACAGTGATCTACTATGTAATATGATTACCAAGAATATGGATAGACACAGGAAACACACGTTGTAGTTAAATGTCTTATTTAGTCCATTATAGCATATAAAATACATGCAATACTGAAACTTCCAATTCTTGAAGATTATTATAGTAAAGCCGTTTAATAAGTGTTCTCAACCACAATTGTTTGAAAACTCACAAACTGGAATAACAACTTTTAGAAGTATATACAAACAAAAAATAGAGCCCATATAAACTGCATAACATTAAGTGTCGGCAAGGAACATCTTGGTCATGTGCAAACAGTCAAAACAGAAACTTTGAAATACTCTTGGCAGGTGAAACCCAGACGACATACCCATCACTACTCTATCATCCACCAACAAGTAAGAGAAAGAAAGTAAACGTGGAATAATAAGTTAACAAGCAGAATTTCAAGTGCATAACAAAAGCGAAATGGAGGCAATCATGGATTGGATACATATTCTGTGGCTAAAATAAACTGGCTCAGTATTCAAAGCATAATTTAAAGTTTCATTAAGACATGAATTATCAAGTTGTGAGATGCTAACTTGCCAAGTCAGGTGAAGAGAAGTCGTTTAAAATGGCTACCTTAAAACAAAGAATGAGATCCCCAGGCAGCACTGCAACACATTGAAGAGAACGCAGTCTCACACATTTCTGAACATCAACCCATTCATCATCCTCGGGTCCAAGCCAAGTAAATCGAACTAGTACTTCCTGAAACAAAATAAATAAATAAGTGCAAGCACAGTTGGCGCAATGCACACGTATTGAACCTGCTGTGGAACGTGATTAAACACTAGATAAACATGGGTATTGTATAATTCTTGGAAAATGATCGAGGGTAGTTTTCACCCTTGACTGTGATAGGAAGCGCGAATCAATCCTAACCTCACGTATCACTTCAGTAGTAGAAAAAGGGATTAGATTATGCAGAAGAGGAGCAGCCAGGAGCCCAGGACTTGATTATGAATTGACCTTGCAGGGACGATGACAAAGTGATGCAGAGCAGACCAGAATTTAACTTAATAACCCATTTTCGAGGAGACTACTGTGTGATGGCTATCATCAGGGCAACATCATGCCATCATTGACGATCGGATCATGACATCATGATCACGACAAGGAATGTGCGATCAGGTGGTGCAGTTTGTGTCGCGCGTTAGGATGCTATATTGCATGTTCGCACCATATACATAATCAAATATTTCCCTATGTTGACAATAGATCATGGGAGTGTCAGAATGGTTCAGTGGTGTTCCATGGTGGCAATGCAGTTGAAAACCACCATTGTTGTTTGATTCGTTCAGTTTCTACAACTCAAGGGTGTAATAGCACTGTGGTCAAAGGCTTAAAATTGCTTCTCATGATAACTGAAGGGCGTGAACTAACTTTTTCCATTTTAAAACTCTGACACGTCTACACAGCTATATAATCTTTGAAAGAAACATTCAGTTCATATTTTGTTTTACATGACAAAACACAGAGATTGTGAAAGTAAGTTTTATACCACCTAGTATCAGCTTTCCACATGAGCCTAAAGTAGCAAATACTCAAGGTTCTTTACGTCTTCTTAACTGTTCACCATTTTATTAGTACTATCTTGTAGTGATAATTCCCCAACACACAGGACTCGTACAACATAAAGTTAGATAAGACAGGTGTTCAAAATGTTATAACATCAATACTGTCATCGAACAATAAATACACAAGAACTGGAATCATCTCTAGCTTTACTGCTAGCAGAATGGTTGAATAAAGAATGCCAGCAATGAATTTAGTAACATCAATCCTATTTGACAAAAATTTCTATGGTCATTACTGGGTCCTTTGTTTTCTTGAACCTGTGGGACGGAAAGGCAGCAACATCGTACCTGTGACAACAAGAATTGTTCAAGCATGTAGAACTGAATGGTTCACGCAAGAAACCCTCCCACCCCACACAAACCCACACACGCTCGCACGGAAAATTAACTCACATGCACAAAAACAGACCACATGTGGTATCAAAGGACACAAAAGACGTATATATGATCATACCATACGACATTTCTAGCCGATTTTGCTTCAAACTGGACCTGGCCACCATCTGAAGGAATATTCCCGGATTGGTGGTCGGTTTACAAAATTAAAATGTTCTAAACGACAAAACGAAAATTGTGCCATGTGGCCAAGAGTTATGAATAAATATAAAGGGAGCATGAACCACGTGTCCTGCAATTGCCGAAATAAGCCTCAACGGTTGAGATAGCGCGACGACGTGCTTTGAAGGGCCCAGAAATACGAAGAACTACATGCTAGGCTGTAAAGTCGCATAACCCGCTAACATTAAATTGAGTTAAAAAAATTGTCTGCTGTTCTGAATAAAAGTAAAGGGCCCACAAACAACCATGTGTTCTGGAGTATCCCAGAGGAGCTTCATCGACCGAGGCAATGGGCCAGCATGTTTTGAAGTGCCCACAAAAGAGTACAGACTAGGCTATACGAAATCAAAAACACGCCAAAATTAACTTGATTGACATTTTTTCCCTGCAGTTGTGCATACATGTAACGGGCACACGAGCCACGTGTCGTGCAATTTCCCAAATGGCGACAACGACTAATCGATACAGCATGACAACAGGGTTCACTCCATGCAGAACCTTTAAGGAGCCCTAGACACCGAGAGAGGTACCCCTGCCGACAACATATTTAAGGAGTACAACACTGATATGCATAAATTCTCCACCACCAGAGCTTTAGAAATAGACATCCTAGCAACTGAACTATCACACGAATTACTACATCTGAGTATGTGAAAAAAACCCAGCTTATTAAGTTAAGATGGGGATTTCAGCAGCACCTGAGTAGGATATGGCCACTAGGTGGTGTTCCTCGGCCACCGGAGGCATCATCATCATCCTGGAACTATGGTTCTGGAACCAATTCCTCACCTGCGACCACCCAACACAAATCAATATGTATAGATCCGAATATATAAGACGGAGCTGATCTTGGGCAACGGGGTTGGAAAATGTACTAGTACCTGATTGTACTGGATGGGGACGTTGTCGTCGCCGGAGCAGTGAGATGACTGAGCAGATTTGTCGAAGATGGATATGGAGATGGAGAGGGGTGGGAGGGAGAAGCATATGTTACTAGTTGAGCAGGTTGTGTTACCAGCCTCTGATGTAAGAGAAGGCAATCTTCTGCAATTAATGTTCTGCAATTAATCTTATTATTAATTACCTGGGGTAAACGAAGCAATTAACTAAGGGGTGCTAATTCCGGTCAGAATTTGTGCTAGGTGTTTTGGCCGTCCAATGTGGTACGTACAGGTAGGTTCAGTGTGCACATTGAACGCCAGGTGGTGTGAAGCCGAGTCACTAGCTGCGCTGAGCTTACTTGCATCGGTTCACCCCGTCCCTGCCAAGCGATTCAGCATATTGGGATTTACTATTTGGCGAAAGGGGTCACATCATGGTCGCCATCACCGCACCTAGCCCGCGGGTAGTTGGAGCTGCCCAGCCCCAACGACCGTGGGCAATGCACCGACTCAAATCGAACCGCCCTTCCTCGTGAACCTTGCCGATTGATGTCCCATCCCTTCTCCATTGTTAGGCATATGGTTAGTGTAGGATTAAACCATGTCTAAAATAGTGAGGCCATCCATGATGTTATCCTAGGGCATGAGGTCAGCTATGATGTCATATAGAACATCACATAAGCAATGTGGTCATCGGCCTCATTGAGCGGTTTATTTGTGCTTGTAAAGGACTAATATTTATTCATCTTACCCAAACAAATACATGAGAGAAAGCATTCGGCTTCGATCAGTTGAGCTTCGAGTAGTAGCACACGCCGAGCCAACTATTGAAAGTGCTCCTGAGCCCTCATAGTTTGGGACCCGAGAGTAGTAGTTGCGTTTAACAATTGGCATCAAAGCCTTATTCAAGCGACCATGTCGAGCGGAGGAGGACAACAACGGTTAGCCTCCGGTGGCTCCAAGATACCACCACGGAAGCGTTAATGTTTGGCGTTTCCAAGATGCCGCCAGGGTACGAGCAACATTGCTCTCAGAGCCGCGGGCGCATTAGGACATGCCGCGCTTTGGGTGCTCAGATCATAGTAAGGGAGATCGTGCACGAGAACGGTGCTGGTAGCGGCACCAACCTCTCCTTCCCGATGCTCACCCGCACCAACTATTGTGGTTGGGCACTGGTGATCAAAGTGAACCTGAAGGGCCATGTCTACGGAACCCCATTAAGGATAACACCGTCTTCCGTAGAGAAAAGATAGACATGCATGGGCCGTGCTGGTCCGCTCCACCCCCCTCGCCCCCTCGCCCCCTCCCCCTCACCCCTCGCCCCTCGCCCCCATGCTTCCCGCGGAGATGCACAACATGCTCGCGTGGATGGTCAACATCAAGGAGGCATGCACTTTCTTAAAAACCCAGCACCTTGGCAGCGATTGCGTGTATGTTGTGGGCGGAGATCAAGGACGCCGAGCGAGTCGATGGCTATCGTTATGAGGATCACCAGCCTCGCCACCTCGCTCGGCTCCCTCGACAACGACGTCGACGACCAAGATAGTCCAAAAATTTCTTTACATTGTCTCTTCTAGTTTTGTGCAAGTGGCAATCTTCATCGAGACTCTGGTTGATTTGTGCTTGATCTCCACCGAGGAGCTTACGGGAAGCTCCGGGTAGTTGAGGACCGTATGGATGACAGTAGGGAAAGCCCTAGTGGCGGATGTCTAATTCGCACTCAGAAGGAGTGGAAGGCGAAGAAGAGGCAGTTGCGTGGCGGCTGAGCCTCAAGCAAAGGTGGTGGTCGTGGCCGCAGGCGCCGAGACAGTGGAAACCGTGTGCAAAAGCTAGGACAAACCCAACAATAGGGCGGACTAGCACCGCTCCGAAAACAGTGAAGACTGGAACATATGTTAGTATTTCGACAATAAGGACCACTAGGCCTGCGAGTGTTGCAAGAAGCAACGTTACGAGGCGGTCTCATACAGACTGAGGAAGATGAGGGACTAGGTTTGGTGATGGCCAGCATCGAGTCAGTCAAGGAGGACTCGACGTCTTTTTTTACTAGCTCCTAGGTCGCGAACTCGAGCTCAGTCGAAACCGCGAGCATGGTCCGACCACCGACGCACACGGGTGGCCACGTTTTCCTCAATCTGGAGAAGGTGATGATCATGCCCACACATAATGGCGAAAACCGATGCGAGGTGTACTTCCTCGACAAAAGCGCGACAAACCACATGACTAGATCGGCCGACGCGTTCTTCAAGCTACGGTTCACAGACGGATCACTTGTCGAGATCCACAGCCGTGGGACTGTCGTCTTTGCCATCGATAGGGGAGAAAACCCGACGCATGGATGCATTCTTCATCGTGGTTCTACAGATCAGCGTTCTCGGGCTCAGCCAGCTAGACGAGAATTGGTATGATATCACCAATCACCGTGATGTGCTCACTGTGCGCCATCAGCTCAAACAACTCCTCTTCAAAGTAACACATGCACCGAATTCACCTATACACACTTTCATTTCACTCAGGCCATCAAGTGTGCCTCATCACTGGGTCATTCACCAGCCGAGTCATTAGGTGGTTGTGGCGTATACTATGGTGCCGAGCTTACTTGCACCGATTCACCCTGTTTGTAGCAAGTGATTTACCATATTGGGATTGACGATTTACCGAAAGGGGTCACATCATGGTCGACTTAACTGCA